ATAATAAAGCATTTATCTTCAATATTCCCTTGTTCCGATACATTTAAGCAATTTATGGATGAAAAACTAATTTTCTGAAAGAAGCTTTATATGGGGGCTAGGGGCAAATATGGACCAAGCCCGATAAAATTTTGTGAATATATTTATATTGACATAATATTTTATTGTGCTGAATTTCATCGCGATATTTGTGTTTATAAGCTAATTTGGGACATTCAAGTAATTTTCTGAAGGGGACTTTGTATGGGAGCTAGGGTCAAATGTGGCCCGATCTTTATGAAATTTGGCAGGGTCATCAAGACTTCTATAAAACTTAGTTATGCCGTATTTTATCGATATATCTGTATATTTAATATACAGTGGACGTCCACTAGTACGAATTATATAGTGTCAGGCCCTTTCGTAATACCGAAAAATTCGTATTATTGAACAACACATTTTGTATGTTTAAATTCAAATAATACACATAAAATATTGGATTTTATTTATTTTTGTTTTATTTTTCATGAAAAATTACATAACGGAACAAAATATAATAAATGTGTATTATTTTAAATAAATTTCTTGTACATAAACAGGCATAAAAGGGACATATTTACGTATATGAATTGTTAATTTTGAAAGTATCGTGAGTCCAATGGTTGAAATGAGATATATGTAGAGGGTTTTAAATTTTAATGTTTTTAAAAAGATGTGTGCCAAAGACAATTTGCAATTTACATATGTGTTCTAAAATGTATTAAAATGTTCAGATTACATAAAACTTTTATTAGAAACTTGAATGGAATATACCACAATTCTCTAATTTATAATTTTCTCTTAAAAATTAGAATAGTTATCCTTAAACCCATTGTTTGGAATGTGGAGTCACACTACTTTCAAAATTAACAGTTCATACATACATATGTATATAAATATCATTTTACTTATTAAAAAATCCATCATTTAACATCGATGTTTATTACATTGTAAAATGATTCTTACGACTTTTTCAATAACAGCGCTTTTGAGGCTTCAATATTGTTCTCAGCAGAGTTATTGTCGGGAACTAATAAAATACTTTCCTCATTGGCGTTATCATCCAATTTAATTTCTTCTCTTGGGTCATCAAAATTCCAATAAAATAAATTAATAATACTAAATAATTGTTGATTTGTAAATATACATGCAGTAAATTGTGTGTATAGGATTTTTAAAAATACAAAACACTTGTAATAAATACAAAAAAACTTCAAAATTACTGAGCTTAAGGTGAATGATACCGAAATAAAAAAATAAAAACATAATAAAAACTTCATTCATACGTAAATAAAACCAAAATTCCCATAAAAAATGCGTTATTCGTACTATCGAACAGAAAAATTGTGACTTTATTCGTACTATAGAGTAGACAATGCAACAATTTTGCCATTCGTATTATTGGATATTCGTAATAAAGAGTATACGTACTATTGGACGTCCACTGTAATTATGAGCTCAGAAGCCCTTTTCGGGGGGTTCTGTTCTATGGGGGCTAGGTGAAATAATGGACCGATTTTAACCATTTTCAATAGGCTTCGTCCTTGGGTCAAATAAAACGTGCGTGCCAAATTTCATCCAATTATCTTGAAAATTGCGACCTGTACCTTGCGCACAAGGTTTACATGGACAGCCAGCCAGCCAGCCAGACGGACGGACGGACGGACATAGCTTAATCGACTCAGAAAACGATTCTAAGCCGATTGGTATACTTTAAGGTGGGTCTAGGACGAATATTTTTGTATGTTACAAACATCAGCACAAATCCAATATACCCTCCCCACTAAAGTGGTGTAGGGTATAAAAATGGAGAGAGCCATACGACTGTTAAATTTTCCATCTTTATTTTCACTCAATGTGTAAAAATACGGATGATTCCACCGTTCTCTTCTAAACTAAATTTTGATGGATCATACTACTTGTGGTATAGTCTAAACTTGCTTTAAGTATCATTCGTATCTTGGATTGTTTCAAATCTATATCTGATATAAACACATAAATATGTATTAGTCCTATATGAAGGGTTAATGTCTGGTCCATTTCAGTTAACACAAAGAGACCAATTTATTAACATAATTTAGAGAAAATTTACCAAAACTGTTGGACACAAATTATAATGAATCTCAAGAAGAAAAAAACCAAGTATAATGTACTGTAATAATTTGAATGTTATGCAAAAATTAAAACAAAAACTAAACAAATAAAAAGAAAAAAGTAAAAGGCAAGAAACCCAAACTATGGAGGAAAATAAACATACAAATAATGATACATCTTGTCTGCATAAATATTTATGTATACATTCAACTAACATACTATATATGAATGGTCTGTAACTAAATATCTTGTAATTATAAAAAATCAAGTTTTTTTTTTAAGCAGTAAAAAAGGGCCGTACAAAACATAATATTTTTTTAGTATAAGTACAATATAAATTACGATACACATTTCGAAATATTTCTGTGTGTACATTATGATGTAGTATTTATTTATAAAACAAATGTAAGAAAATATAAACAAAAGTTAGTATTATTTGCTAATAAATGTTTATTAAAGTGTTTTGTGGGTTTAAGTTTAATAAAAAAGGGTCATAACTCAAAAAAAACATAGTTTCGAATAAAACGTCTTTAAAAATTTGATGTCTACTATTTTACAAATAACTTTTACAAAAACCATCAGATTGGAAGAATAAAAAGAGATATGTATATAATTTAGATATTATTATCTTTCTTAATTTAGTTTAAGTAAATATGTAGCTAATAAAATATAGTTAAATCTGAAGTTTTAGTTTTGATATTATTCCCTCATTGATATTTTTAAAAGAAGATAAACTATTTGAAAGAATCATAAGATTTTAAGATACATATATTGTATACATATTAAAAACAAGGGTTTTTAAGTTATGGCTCTTTAGTTGCAAGTGAGCAATATGAGTGTATTACTTTCAAAGTGTGTTTTAAGTGTGAACGAATATTTTATTTTAACTAAGAGTTGTGATGATACATAATTTACCAAGAATTTTAATTGTAAGTAGATAAAGTGAAGATAAAATTGTTGATTTAAATAAAAATTATCTTTAATTAAATAAATTTTGACATAAGTAGACTGCTTTAAAAAAAATTGTATTTATAAATATTAAGGATTTTATTCCAGAATTGGACTATTTTATAGATTTTTAGTAATTAAAAAACTTAAATTATTCATTAATGTTTCTATTAATAAAAAAATAAGCTACCATTTTGAATCCCTGTTAAAAAAATTTATAAATATTACAGGGTACGCGTAAATATGGATTTTTTTTACACATTAAAATTATTACAACAAACAGAGAGTACAAATAGGATTTTAGTAAAATATCCATCCACTACATTTTCAAAAATAGTTTGTACAAATAAAAGTAGATGGAATAATTGTACTGTCTAACTAGCGATTTTTAGAAGCTAAATTAACATGGCAACATACGGGTTATCTCTCTAAAATTTTAATATTAAAGGACCTTTAAACGATCACACTTTACGTACATAAAGTCGAATGAAATTCCATCCGTATGACAAAAAAGATAATAAAACAATAACAAAGAAAGATGGAAACAGCTGTTTCACTTTTTTGTATATGTTTACATAAAAATACATCACTGATGTAATGCGATTTGCTTGTTTTTGAATCATTTCAAAAAATGAAGGGAGTCATACGACGGTCAAATTTTGCATACGTATTTTCTCGCATATTACCTTTAGACGATCCCATCCGTACTCTTCTACAAAAACTTTTGGCAGATCATATTACTTGTGTGCTCGTGTAAGGGGCTTTATTAACTAACTGTTCTTTCTATTAAGTGTAAATTTTGAGATCCGATTAGTTAAATTAAAAATCTAGAATTTTTAGCTTGTGGGCTACAATTTGGCTAATCAGGAATACACAAAAAACAGCCAAAGGAGAGAAATGGTTCAGAATGGTACACCGACATTAGATTAACGGCGACAATCAGTCGAATTCCTAAAATATTTTGCGATAAGTTGTGTTTTTATAAAAAAAATTGTTTAGTTTTTCTCACTTTGACAGTGGGCTACAATCTACAATTTATAATACCCAAATTTATAATACCCAAACTTTCGCCTAAGAGCTCAATATGAAGTAAAATGAAAACATCATATTTTGTTTATTAAATTAAATTTGTTGGCATTTAAGTAAACTGCTAAAAATAATTAAAAAACATTTTTATATTTTTTTCTAATTTCACCGTAAAATAATACAATTTTAAAAAAATTTAGTTAAATTTCTCCTTTAAATATTGAAATACACATACAAAAAACTTTAATAAAATATTAACAATTAAACCGGAAATTGTTATGACAAATATTTTCTTAAAAACAAGAAATAATTTACTGCAAAAGAAAACAATCAAATGTATAAATATCATGTGTAAAATGTTAGATTTAGTAGAAGATATAATGCAAAGTTTGACATGTTATTTTTATTTTAATTGTAAGATTTTTAAATACGAAATCCAATTAAAAATCTATTTTAATTGAGATTTATTTAAGACTCTTTTCATACTTCAAAAAGTTTTTCTTCTTAATATATGTAAAACCGTTATTTTTTACAAAAACATGCAAGTTAACAGCTGTATAAATAATGTACATCTTTTAGTTGACAACACTGTCAATACAACAGGGAATCAAATAAGAATATGTAAAAAGGGAAATATTATGTAGAGGAGAAAGAGAATGAGGGGAAATGTTAATATGGCAAAAATGCTGTATACAAATACGAGTTTTATTGATTTTTCAACTGAAGATTAACATGAGTGCAAAAAACTAAAGAAATTTATACTTTTTACATTTTAAAAACAAAACATATTTTTTATACAAAAATTTACATTAATTTTGTGTCATTTTATGAATAATACAAGGTTTTAATTCTATGCATTAAACTCAAGAATTTAATACAACCTCCTACATACTAAAATAAAAATGCTTACATACCTTAAATTTGTTAAGCTGCGTAGGTCTTTATTAAAAATCGTCTTCCTTTGCAGTTTGGAAGTACAAATACGTTCTTAATTATATTTCTTTTATTGTTATAAAATATTTATTGTTTATTTAGTGAAACACTTGAAACAATATACTGTGTTGAGCTGTTAATGTTAAACATTTTTTTCCCCAATATACCACCCCTCCCTTAAAACAATAAACAATTAAGTTGCTACTTATTTTTTTCGTATTTCTTTCACTTAGCCACAGATTGTACCCCTTTAGGGAACATTATGATTTTCGTTTTATCAGTAAAAAATATTATTCACACATTATTATTTTACTTCTTAGGTGACCAATATTTCTAATTTGAGTGATTACACGTAATTTTTTTGATAGTTTTGTTAAATTTTTGATTTTATTCTGATAAAAAAAAGAATTACTTTTTTCCTTTCTTCGTTCACTGCGGCGCTGTGTACACAACAGTCAGACATGTATGTTAGTATGTATGTATGGCACTGTAATTCCAATACGACACTGTTAACAACTTTTTTCGCTTATTTCTTTCCGCTAAATGGATGTTTACTAAAAGACGATTGACAGAAGACTATTTTATGTTTTTCTTTCGACCGCTTATTCGTGGGGAAATATTTTATGTTGCTGCAGTGTTGTATTTATAGTAAAAGGGAAATTTTAATATAATGGATGTTTTAATCATGGCCAAAGTAAATTTATAAAGTAGACTCATTTGAACAGCTGACTATTTTTTTTAAACTTGCTATTTGTGGACTTACTTGTCAAAAATGTTTATGTTGCCATATTTGTTTTCATTTTAACGCTTGCTTTTGTACAAATTTCTGAGTAATTTGTTGTATTTAATGTGAAAAAGTGTATTTTAAGTGTATAATATTTTTAAAAATGTTCTAATTTTTAAAAAATAAAGAAAACTCTGCGACTTTTAATATAAATAACAACATATTTTTGGAAAGTACAACAATAATGCCATATTTTCCATTAATTATTGGTTCATTTTTGTAAACAAATTTTGACAAGTGAGTATTTCGAACAAAAACAAATTGCCTGTGGTTTTTGTAGACGTTTGTTGTACAACAACTCGTGTCGCTACTTTATTAATTTACTTTGATCATGGCATAATAAAGTGTGTTCTAAGTGTGCCCTGGTTTTAATGTTAATTTTTAATTAATACATCCTAAAAGTGGAAGTACAGAACACGCGTTGTACGCGGCAACGCGTTATATGCTTCTGTCAAAAAAAGTAGAAATAGTGTATTTTCATTTAACAAGTTGTACATTGTAGCTTGTAACACGTGTTGTGAACCTCCAGCTGAAAGTAGGCCTACTTTAAGCACTCTACGCGTCAATACATTCTAAGATTTTGTGCTTGTAACTTGCAGCACACAACTGCATTGATTCTACATTTTTGACAGATGTATGGAATGCGAAGAAGCGTAGAATGAGTGGTATGGTCTCAAGCTTAACAGATTAAAGGTGGAAGTACACAACACGCGTTGAGGCGGCAACGCGTTTCACGCTTTTCAAAGTTTTCGCGCTTTATAGGCGGCAAGTTAATCGTCATTTTGATCTCTCTTTTAATGTCTTTTAAGACTATGTATTACTGTTTTAAAAATCATAATTTTAAGTTTTTGTATATTTTTCGTCCATTGTTGGAGAAATTTATTTCATTTTAGTTTATTCTTATTTTACACAAAAACAAAATAATACCCTGATCATCTGTCGACGCGTCAAAAGTTGAAAGTTGATGCGTGTTGTGTACTTCCACCTTAACACATTTGGGACTTGCCAGTGCTATTTGTACCTAGGCATCATCTTCTAGATATTGTCAGGACATTCCAGCGACACCTTCCGAATACATCTAGATTGGTTTAACGGACACGCTTTACTAATATAATAATCAGCCTATGTTTTTTAAAAGCACTTACTCTTAGTGTTGCCATACCAAATATTATTTTAACAGACGGAAATTTCCGGAATATTGAATGTTTCTAAACAAATGTTTATAATCATAATGAATCATGAAAATGTCCCTTAAAACCGTTTAGTTTAAATTTTATTTTAATTTCTTAACAATTTTGTTCATATCTCCGTTATTTATGAACCAATTTTAGTGATTTTTCAATAGAAAACTTATCGAAAGTATGTCTAATACAATTATTCGATATTTAGATCCCGAAAATATCTAGTGCTATTAACAAACACACGGCCAGACAGATAAACATCTCTAAATCAACTTCGATATCTATATGAATTCAGAATATGCATATATGGGGTCGGACAATTATATTGTGGAAATTACAAACAAAGTGACAAACTCATATAGAGTATCCTTCTCACAAAGGGTGTCTGCTAAATAAATACATATGTATGTATTGTTAATAAAAGTATAATCGTGTCGACTTAGCCATCCCTGATTAAATTTGATCATCTTTGTATAGTGCAATTACAAAATATAAACAGAACAACAATTAGTACAACATCTACAAAAACCACATACTATTTGTTTTTATTATAAGAAGAAATACTGTCAAACATTAACTGTTGTTTTTGTTTTTGGGCAATGAACTGTCAACATTCGCCTGTTTTTTTTGTAGTTTTTACGTTTGGAAAGATAAAAAGCTGGTCTTGTGAGTTCACTTTATTAATAAACTACTGATCTCGGTTTATCAATAATCGACCGGTATCTCTCATCTTAAAAAGATGTTTATCAACAGTGACCGGGCTTTTGCGTTTTATTTGTTAACAATTTTATTAATTGTCTCTACACAAACAGGATGCTGCGACGCCCAATCCTTTAAGTATGAAACTAAGGAATTTGAGGTGCCTCTGGATCATTTTAATTTTGCTATAAATACAACCTTCAAATTGCGCTACTTGTACAATGACTCGTACATTGATAAACAAAGTGGAAAAACGCCATTGTTCTTTTATACAGGCAACGAAGGTGACATTGAATCATTTGCACAAAATACAGGTTTCATGTGGGAATTGGCTAAAGATAATCGGGCCTGTGTAGTGTTTGCTGAACATCGTTACTATGGCAAGTCATTGCCTTTTGGTAATTCAACATTCAGTGACTCGAAAAATTATGGTTATTTAAGTGTGGAACAAGCTTTGGAGGATTATGCGCTGTTAATAGCAGATCTGCAGCAAAAGTTTAATTATGCTCCTGTCATAGCATTTGGCGGTTCGTATGGTGGCATGCTGTCCGCCTGGTTTCGTATGAAATATCCACATTTGGTGCAGGGCGCTCTGGCAGCATCCGCACCCATTAGACAATTCAATGGCATGACTTCATGTGATATTTTTGCCAAAATCACCACCTCGGTCTTTGCTAGCACTTATAAAAATCGCACCTGTAGTGCCAATATTAAAAAGTCATGGGATCTATTTAAGCAAATGGCCTCCACAGATGAGGGCAAAAAGAAATTAAACACTGAATTCTTGTTTTGTAATCCCATTAAGACAGAAACCGATTTGGACAAGTTTTTTGATTATTTGGAAGATGTTTACGGCAGTCTTGCCATGGTCAACTATCCTTATAGCAATGATTTCCTAAGTCCTTTACCAGCTTATCCGGTAAGACAGTTTTGTTCTTATTTACAAAATTTGCAGACGGGTGACAGTCTATTTGAATCCATGAAGAAAGCTATAAATGTTTATTTTAATTTTACCGGCTCTGCGAATTGTTTTGATTACAAATCCGCCTTTGATCCAGCCTCTATAGGCGGCGATGCCTGGGATATACAAACCTGCAATCAAATGGTCATGCCCATGTGCAATACCCCCGACACCATGTTCCGCGTAAAGGAATGGAATTTCAAAAAGGAAGCAGAAAAATGTGTTAGTAAATATCATATTGAACCAAAATTAAATGATATTACTATACGTTATGGAGGACGCAATCTGCGTGACACTTCGAATATTATATTTAGTAATGGTCTACTGGATCCCTGGAGTGGTGGTGGTGTTTTGCAAACAGATAATCCTTATATCTATATAATTATAATACCCGAAGGGGCTCATCATTTGGATTTGAGATCGAGCAATCATGGTGATCCGGCATCGGTGGTGCAGGCACGTGTACATGAATCGGCAATAATTAAGAAGTGGATTGATGATTTTCATTGGTAAATTTTAGTGTACTACTATGTAAATTATCTTTATACTTTTAAAAAAATTATAATCATACATAAATATAATGTAAAATATATCTATATTCTTATAAATAAAGCGATTTAAACTGTAATAAAATTAATTTGAGTGAAAGGAACTTTATTTCGTTTCAAAATAGAACAGTTTTGAATTTGATTTCGAGCGATAGACTATGCGCCCAATCATAGCAATACGACATCCTATTAATATGATCATTAGGATGATTGTTGGATTAGGATTTATGCACCGAACGCTGTACAATTTGAGAGACCTATTAACTACTAAAAACATTTCGTTATAATAAATTTTATTATAATTATAAATAAAATTTAAAAAAAAGTTCGACTAATATTAAACAAACGGATGTGGCATACCCACCAGAAATGAAAAGAATGATTTTGAAAAATTAAAGATGTTTCAAATAATTTATTTAAATTAAGCAACAATAGTATTTAATGTCCTTTATAACATTTCAGCTACTTGTTCTTTCGAGTATTTATTCGCCTCCTCAACAAGTTCCTCTCTTGTTTACACTTTTTGAGTTGTGCACAAAAATAGGATGCTTTCGCCTGCAAATTTCTCAATTTCGGCAATAGTTTTTCATACTTTTTCAATTCTATGTGTAAGCGATAGTTTTCCTTATTAAGATGTCGTATTTGTCTTAATTGTTGCTCGCATTGTTTATCCAATAATTCGACTTGCTCTTGCAGCGTCCACTTGCGGGGCGGGGTATAGGCAACAACTAAATAATCTTTGGTTTGAACGTAACGTCCCTTAATTATCATATCATTTGTAGTGCCCTTACGTATTTCAAAGTCTTTTACACTATTTTCTGTGTCATTATTGTTCTCTGGCAAGGTGTCTTCAAGCAATTGCTCCTCAGTTTCAATTATTTCATTTAAGTCTTCTTCTGTTCTAAAATCCAATTCGTTTGGAAATTTTGTTATAGTACTATCTGATGTATTTGTATGTTGTTTCTTTTGATAATTCGGTATTTGAAACGAACTTTGTGTTTGAGTTGTGTTATTTACTGGAGGATTCGGTAATGTAAATTTATTTACACGATTGCCAAATAATTCAAGTTTGGAAAAATGAGCACTGCATATTTTTACACTCTTTGTCCTTGGATATATACCCAAAATTCGACACCATTCAGCACGCCTTAAAAAATTAACATAAATTGCAGTGTAAACTTGTTTTTGAAAATGTGAGTAAAATAATGCAATTTCTTAGTGAAATATTTACCTTTTAGCGGAAGCAGGAAAAGAATGAAGTGGATGTACATCCTCACATCCCATAATACATTTACGGCTAGTCATGGCAAATCAAAGAAAATAGTCTAAGATATTGCAAATTTTTCTCCTTAAGAAATTTGTAAACAATTAGTTTTAACTTTTTCCAACAACATTTGACATCTTAGGGCCAATTTTTAGGTAAACGATTAGCGATTAAATTAAAATTAAACATCGAATGTTGTTTTTGAGTTAGTTAATTTTGTTTGCTAGTTTAAGTGACCAGTGTAGACGGTTTAAACTTGAGCAAGATATGCAAAATTGTACACAGCTGATACCGAAAAATTAATACAATTTTTATAAAACTAAACATTAGAATGTTTTATACATTATGGAGACTTTAAATTTTAAAGTTTAAAATACAATTTGTATGTTTTTAATTTAAGTTTTCGTCAATTTTCGTAATACACTTACAATTTTCTTCTTTTTTATAAAACATGCATTGTTTTGATAGCAAAATTCAAATTCAAATTTACATAAGATCTTCCCAAAAATAATTATAAAAAAACTTAGAACTATATGTATGATTCTAATCATGTAACATAAAAATAGCAACCTGCTGTATCAAATAAATGTTCCCGACATTAAAGTACACACATTAAAGTATAAGTGCTTGCTCCCGGCACCAAATTATAGTTTTGATAGCAAACAGTCACGTTTTCTGTTGTTTTGTATGGCAACACTACAAAGTTTAAATTTGTACTTAAAAACATCAAAGCGGATTAACATTAGATTACATTTATTTTTAGATTAACTAATCTGATTTTTAATCGGTATTTAATTGAAAACTCAAAAACCCGCTCTAATTGGGAAAAGGCTATTAGTTACGGTGCATTTAGAATACATTGATTTACATAACGTTTAGCCCAATCGGTCCAACAAACTTTAGCGTAAAGTAAAAACTTGATTTATTATCAACTTTGAAGGATAAAAAGTATGTAATTGTATGACAAGTATGTGTTGTTAACGCATTGATTGAGTTTATTCGTGTCAATGCGTATACACTTAGCTATCACTTGTGGTTGAAGCAAAAGACCACGGTATACCGCATAATTGTCAATTTTTTTATATGTAGTTTGACAAACGTGCGGTTTAAGCTTGTATACAAAGTATATTAATAAAGTAGCGACATCTCTTGTTGTACAACAACATCTACAACAACCACATGTATTTTGTTTTTGGAAAATTTAAGATTGTGTCAAAATAAAATTTCCTTGAAAAACAATGTGAACAAAACATAAATAAAAAATATTACTTTTAAGTTAAAGATATTAACGATTTAATTATATTATTATATATTATACAATTTATTACACTTTTAAACTACTTTAAAACCACTTTTAATTCACTTTTTCAACTTTTCACAAATTTTAACAAATAGCAAAACACAATTTAAAAATGGCGACGTAAACAATGTTAACAATTTTCAAAACAAACTTTGACAATTTGCTTCATTTATCTAGTTTAAAAAAAATAGTCAGCTGTTCAAGTGATGCTACTTTATTAATTTACTTTGCTTGTATACAAGTTTATGTATAAAAAATTGTAAACAATAATCAGCTGGGCTAGAGATGTCACCTTGTATTCAGTACACCCTGCAAAAGACAAATACATGTCAAATTGTATTTGGGTAAACAAAAACATATTTGTTTACAAATTTCTTAAATAATTTAAGAAATTTGCATTTAAGTTAAATCATACCATGAGCCACCGTACTTGTGTTATGGGATGTCAGACGAAAAAAGGAGAACTACTTCATTATTTTCCTAATAATCCTACCAGGTAAAAATTCCAGATTTCAAAAGCAAGATTTCTCTTGAAACGGTTAAATTGTTGTTTTTAAGGCGTGCTGAATGGTGTCGTATTTTGGGTGTCTATCCAAGGACAAAGCTGGTAAAAATATGTAGTGCACATTTTTCTAGTGGGATTTTTTTTGGTAAACTATGGGCTACCAAATCCTCCGGAAAAAAACACAACACAGACGCAGGTCGTTAAAAATGCGGATAAAAAACCGAAATATCCAAAGAAACGCAAGACCGTTAAAAATACACCAGATCGCGAGAATGTAAGATGTAATAATTGAAACGGATATAATAAAGGAGCAAGTGCTAGAAGAAGCCTTGCCGGCAAATAACAATACAAAAACATTGTTAGAGGAGAATAACGAATCGGAAAATATAGTGGAAGATTTTGAAATACGTAAGGGCAGTACAAATGATATGATTATAAAAGGACGTTTCGTGCAAACCAAAGATTATTTAGTGGTAACTTATACCCCACCTCGAAAGTGGTCGCTGCAACAGCAAGTCGATATATTGGATAAGAAATGTGAGCTACAGTTGAAGCAAATAAGAAATCTCAATAAGGAAAACTATAGTTTACATATTGAGTTGAAAAAATATGAAACTAAACTGAGGGATTTGCAGGTGAAGAATTTATATTTTTGCTCTCAAGTCAGAAAGTATAAACAAAAGGAGAACTTGTTAAGGAAGCGAAAAATGTTAAGAAGATTAAGAAGAAAAACTTTTATAAAAAAGATATTAAAATAAATTATACTTAATTTATTAATAATTTAAGAAATTTGATTTTTAGATTCTTTAGTGATTTTCTACTCTGAGGCGGTTAAACTTTATCCGTCCAGTAACAAAACATATTCGGTTCATAACTGACCCGATGAATAAATACATTTTGTAAAATTAAATATAACAATTGAAAATCTGATAGTTTTGAACCATACGAACTTGCCCCAATTTTAGACACCTCCGTTATATATTTTTTAACTTATTTTATAAAATATCTTTATTTACTTGTATTTTATTTTGTACCATTGTCCTACTTATAAAATTCCATAAAATCTATTTCTTCTTATCCTTAATAGTATATTTATCATACGACTTCGTAGGATCATAGGGTTCCCAACGACTGGCGGGAAAAATATGTTTATTACGTTCATACCATGAACGCAATAAAACTTTACCGGCGTGCGATTCTTCCTTTTCCACCGAGGCATCACTAGTCAAACGTATGTCGTCGTGCACATCAAACTGGAAGAGAGGCCCCGATTTACCACGGGCCTTTGTCACTATGAAATCATAGAATGTGTAATGATGTGGCAGTATTAAATCCTCTTTAACGTACATTAATTGATCAGCCATAACAGTTTTAAGTTCATTGAATTCTTTGCGCAGCAGTTCCAGACATTTTTGTAAAAACTGATAAATAGAATTACCCTTTTTCATGACCACACTACGACGATGACCGGAGCCATCCCAATAGGAAAACGTAATGGGTATTTCTTGATCTTTAAGCGCTGCTTGTTGCATGACCCATTCCTGTCGTAATTGTTCCCGCAAGCGATTTTCCTCTTCCTCACGTTCTCGATCGGGCAGGAAACTGGTGTCTACATCGGGATTTTTAAAAATTTTCTTTTTAATCACTGGCACCGTTTCATCGGGATTTAGTTCTGTCCATTTCTTCTTTTCAGCTTTCGCCTTGTCCAATTTTACTTTTAGTTCCTTTTCCTTTTTTCTCTGTTCTTCCATTTCCTTTTGCTCTTCATCTTCTTCACCGTTACCGTCTTCGTCCTCCTCCTCGCCTTCCTCGTCATCATTAAAACTAAATGATAATGCCTGTATTTGTTTTTTCTGCTTGTTTTTCTCCGCCTGTATAGCTTCCAGAGCTTTCTGTTTCTCTCTTTCTTTTTCATCTTTTTTTTGGGCCAATTTCTTTTCCCGTTCTCTCACTATGTCCTCCTGTTTGGCTTTCATCTCATCCAAAGTGACCAAACCAATGGTGGAGGTTTTGAGCTGTTGCTCCACTGCATCATAATGGGTGGCGAATTTATTTTCTATTTTATCCAATTTCAGCTCCTCCTCAATTTTCTTTTTGCGAAACTCTATTTCTTGTTGCTGGATTTCACGTTTCTTCATTAACTGGGCAGCACGCCCAGCTTCACTGGCAGCGCCTTTATAGTGGGCCATGTTGGTTGGTTATTATTTCTAGTTAATTTTATTAAAATTTTATAATTTTTTCTGGAAATTTTTTGGTGTCCAACAATTTGTGTGCGTTTTCAGGTGTTTTGTTTATTACTGTTTGATTCACAATAGAGAGTTACGTGACAGCTGTTGAACAATGATGTTGCCATATTGTTTGTTTATTTTTATATTTTAGTAGGAATGTAGATCAAGGTAAATTAGAAAGGAAATATAAAAAAAACTAATAAAAAATATTGGAATATTAATAAAATAAAACAAATGAATCTGCCCCACTATGTAGATTAAATTGTCGTTTTATTTTTTTAACATTTATAACAAAAGCTTCAAATATAGTGTCATTAGAAAGTCGACTTTCCAACATTTTTTTTTTTGCAATTTATGAAAAGATGACTTTTCAACTTTTTTTAATTTTGAAATTGAGTACATAATTTCCAGTAGGGTTTTTTTGGTTTGTTCTCTTGTTGACTTATTTTCCAATATTTATATTAATAATAATAAGATAAAATGTCGATTTTTTGAAAGTGGATTTATATTATAAAATTTTAATTTACAAAGAAAATGAAGTGATGGGGAAGCGATTTGTAACATATTAAGATAAAAAGAAAAAATTATTCTATATGGTAGATTTATATAGAGTATAAACGTCAATTTTTGTGTGTTTTTAGAACTTTTTCTGCATAGCTTTTGAATAATTTGAAAATATTAAAGTCGAAAGTCGATTGTTCAATTATTTAACTAAAAGTCGACTTTTTAAACATTCAACATTATTATATCAAATTTTCAATTAGAATTATTTCGAATACTTTCGATTTTAAGCATTGATGACTTTTCTATTGTTTTAACAAAAATCCGACATTTTGAACATTCGACTTTATTATATTTGTGTAAAGTCGACTTTTAGAACTTATGTCTGTTTTGTTTTTGAAAAGCGAATTTTTGACGTATGATTGTTAAATTCGACTTTATTGAACTTTTCTACTACAAACAATTCTTCTTTTCGTTTTTTAAATGGCTAGTTATTAACTTATCAGATGAAATTTCGATTGTTTGATTTATATAATCTAATTTGGAAGTTGTTATAGTTGTAACAAAACGTAGACTTTCCGATTTTTAACCATTTGTGCAAAGTAGGTTTTTACATTTTTCCAATTTTGAAATTCTTGAATTTTTTTTTTTTTTTTTTAATATCGACCTTTTGACTTTTTTCATCTTTGTTCGATTTTCTTGACTTTTATCTCTAAAATAATTGAAACTTCGATTTTGCAAACAAAAATCGAAAAAAGTAGAAAAGTCAAAAACAATCGAAACGTTGAAAAGGGTCGAAAAGTCGAAATAAATCGGAAAGTCGAAAAAAGTCAGAAAAAGTTAAAAATATCGAAACGTCTAAAAGTTAAAAAGAATCGAAAAATTAGTTATTAAAAAAAATTTGAAAGGTCGACTTTTCATAAAACACAAAAAGTCGAAAGTCGATTTCAACTTTAGAACCTTACTAATTTCTATTTCAATTTGGTTTATTTTAGTGTTATTTAAATCGACTTTCGAAAAATCGAATTGTAAAGAAAAGTCAATAAATTGATCTTAAGTTTTTTTGTTAGTTAAAAACATATCATTACTTTTTGCCCCCTACGACCATTATTGTTACAAATGTACCTACATAACAACAAATCTGTCTGAAATCTTAGTCTTAAAAAAATCAAGTCGAAAATCGAAAAACTGTAAAAAGTTGGAAAATCGACGTTGCATAAATTGCTAAAAGCCAGAAAGTCAACTTTTCATAATAATTGCAAAATATAAAAAAGTCGACTTTCTGTTTTAGCTATAGAACCCTACAGCTAATTTAACAGAAGTTGGTAACTCTATAACTTAACAGCAAATGCTACCAGATGTATATAATTTCAAAAACTTAACAGAAAACCGTTAAAATGAACACTCCTAACAGAAAACTGCTAAACAAAATAGAAATACTTCGTATACAATCGGAATGCGGTAAAACACAAATTTCCGAAAGGACATAGAAACGATTAACAACTTAAACATAAATTTAGTTACAACGCGAATCTTAACGGAAACACAAAGAACGGAGGCGAAATAAATAAGAAAATAAATTGATAAACGGTTAATTTAAAATAATAAAAATATTAAAAAATCTAAAGTAAGAAAATAAAAAACAACAAATTAAATTATTGATAGAAAATAAAAGAAATTTAAAAGAATTTTTTTTTTTTTCAAGAAAGTCTTGAAATAAAAATAAAAAAGGGACTTAAATTCCCACGGCTATACAAGGATTTCAATAAAAATAGAAACATATATAATAAGTATGTATGTTGTGTGTAAGATTTAATTACAATTGTGTGCACTGCTGCAAGAAAATGCAAAAAGCGAAATAGAATTGTAGCAGTTTACATAAATAGCACAAAAAGCTAAATAAAAAAATATATTGTATATAATTAATTAAAAATAGCGGAAATAGAGAGCTTTTCAAAAGATATTAAAAGCAAAAACGAAACAAAGAAAATAAAATTATATTGCAATACAAAAGTGTCTTTTTAAATAAAAGAATAAATAGTTGAAATAGTGAAATTTGCAAAGACAAGATAACATCAACAACTACTTACTCTTAAACCAGCAGCTGTTTGAAAGTAATAAAGAAAAAAAAAAAAAACTAGGCTGCCAGAACTAAACCATCAGGCAGCTAAACAGTTCAAGATTTTCGTAAGTGCACAAGGACAAGAGGACAAATGTAGAACGAACGACTAATTCTTATCTTTTATATTTTTTATACTATAAAACTTACACTTGCTCTCCACCCATAGTCGCCACTCGGTTGCTGTAGCTGTTTGCATACTTTTGTTATATGGTTTTAATACATTTTACTCGCACACCGAACAATGTTTGTAACAATATTTCATTGTTGGGATTTTTATGTTTTGTTTTAGTTTGAATTCTACAAATAGACGAAACATTTCAACATTTCCAACGCATACAAGGGGCTGTGTAACACAATAAATTGTTTGTGCATTCATTCATTCTTTCCTTCATTCATGTTTGTATATTTTGTGTAGAAATGTGTTGGTATGTAGGCATACATACCAACAGAAGAAACAAGCAAACATAGGAAAACGGAAGTGACAAATTGAAATGACATTTTTTTCCCCAACTCACTGTGTATGTGTGTATTTCTTTCCAATTGCTGTTGTTACTGTTGATAAGCATCAAAAATAAACTTCTATGTACATATGTATATAAAAAAGTCACGTTAATGAGTGACTGATTTAGTATTGTACAACTCAAGCGGCTGAATCCAAGAATCATGAAATTTTGACATTAAAAGTATATATGTTCAAATATAATTACTAAGGAGCAATTTTTGGAATGGTTAAAGACGATTATAACATGAGATGTTAAATATTTCCAGCTTAATTTTACGTATTATAAATAAACATATATCAACGGATAGGATATTAAGTCTACTTTTTTGAAATATGGATACAAACTTTTTAGAAAATAAAAAGTGCATAGAAATTTTGCAATTTATTATCACTAATCCCTCAATTCACAAAAAAAAATCCCAAAAATGAAATTTAGGCCGAACAATTTTTAACACATTGACCAAGGTATACTTTTCTAAAGGATTGAGCGGTGCTAAATCCGAATATGACCTCAGATTTTCTCCATCTTATTTGAGATATCGTGCCCTGAAATATGAAAAAACGCCATCTTTGGTAATTTTTGAGACGTTATGACAGCGCCAAGACAACTTTATTTATAAAATGTTGTATGCCATCAGAAAGTCCATTCTATCAACTTTAAAATAGCGGCTTAACATCTGACATATCTTCTCTTTTTATCGAGTTATCTTTACCTAAAGCTTGATATAACAATAAATTGACAAAAACTGTATTTTTAAAAATCTGCAGTAGTTTCTGAGATATCATCCGAAACAAAATGTGATTTGGAGTCGATTGGAACAATTTTAGATAGGTGTGAATTCAATATTATTGTTCGTTATAAACAATATTTACAAATACCCTCTGCACTATAGTAGTTTAGGTTATAAATTCTATGATTCATGATTTAGGTGAAGATATCTCGAAGTATAAAGAAGATATGTCAGATGTTAGGCCTTTATTTTAAAGTTGACAGAATGGAATTTTAGATGGCATACAAAATTTTATAAGTAAAGTGGTCTTGCCACTGTCATAACGTCTCATAAAAGGGACAAAATTGGCGTTTTTTCAAATTTCAGGACACGATATCTCAAATCCTAAATCAGCAGTAGTAAAAATAGTAAATGAGTGATTTCTTTAGAAAGTGAGTGAGTATGTAAGGATTGATAATGCAGGTGTGCGCTTATGTAATTCATTTGAATTAATCTAAAATCAATTCAATTAAAACGATTTGGAAATGAATTGTAAATCACTTTAACAAATTAATTTGAAAAACGAATTGCAATTCATTTTACAGATTCATTCAAATTGCAAGTCATTTTTGGAAATGAATTGATATTCATTTCTGCCTAATTCGCTTGTATTGCTTTAAATTCCACTAAATTAGTTTTTGTTGTCATTTTTGGAAATGATTATAAAAATGCTGGGGCCTAGGTGAAAGTGCATTAACTAAAAATATTTTGGCAAAGTTTCTCTTTGTCGTTCCGTTTGGACTCTATCGTATTCTAAACAGGCAGACAGACAGACATACGGACGGATTTTTTAAAGATTTTGGTGCTTTTTTTAGCATAATTTTTCTTGAGCCGCTTTAACATGAAGGGGCCTGAATGAAAATTCTATAACCAGAAAGTTTTTGGCACTTTTTTTGTTCTTATTCATTTTACAGATTCATTCAAATTGCAAGTCATTTTTGGAAATGAATTGATATTAATTTCTGCCTAATTCGTTTGTATTGCTTTAAATTTCACTAAATTAGTTTTTGTTGTCATTTTTGGAAATGAATTGATATTAATTTCTGCCCAATTCATTTGAATTGCTTCAAATTTTATTAAATTTGTTTTTTTTTTGTGAAAGGTTGTAGGGTCAATTATGAATCTTAAACATTTGACAAACACATTTTGGCTGCTATAAAACTTGTTTAAAACTTTTTT